CCCATCAGCGTCATCGGATGCTCGGTGCGTTTCCTTGGCTGTAACGTTCGCTTTTGCTGCTTTCAGATCTGCATTCTATGAAAGTCCGAACTAATATGGAAAACCCAAGTACAAACTTAGCAAGTAAATAAATATGGTTTCTTCTCCTCCAGCTACGAGCAACAAGCAATTCAACATGCTCAGAAGAGGACTGATGTCTCGAAAGAAAAAGAGGCAAATGCCTGCTTCTTTTTCTTCCAAGACTTGAATACTTTAGGCTGGTAGTTTTCCTTAATATGTATCAGCCAACAATCAACTTTTTTTATAGCGTCTGATGGGGCTACTGGGGAAAAAGCAAGCTCAGCTGGAAATTCATTTCAGGGGCGGACCAGGAACGGGGGTTTAAAGGCACAGCGGCCGCTCCGTTCTACCCCCGCCAACGGCTGGCACGGCTCCCTCTGAAATCTGGCACCGAGAGGCGAAGTGTCATTAAAAATACTCGGCTCGCGTCAAAAGGCACGCTCCGTTTGCCATTATTTCAAGCAACGGACACCCGAGAGTCGTCATTTCAGCACAATTTTACGCCTGGGAGATCTGACGTCCGATTCATCACGGCGACAAAAGGAATTTTTCGTAGCCCGCCAGAAGGTTCGGCTCCTCCGCACCGATCTTCCAGGGCAAGAGGGCGTGTGGCTCTTCTACGCAGAATGGTTGTGTACAGAGGAGTTATATACCCGTTCCTCTGGTTTCCTGGAAATCTCCCATTAATATCCCAGATTCTTATGCTGCGACACGCTCCGGGCGTCTTCGGCAGTGAGAAATCTACTGGATGCGATCGCCCTCGTCAAAAAGAGTTGACGGGAGACTTTTGCTTTTGAATGGTGTTTGAAAAACTGACGGAGATCACTATGATCTCTGTCTGTTTGGGGACATGCTGACGTTAACTGTCACAGGGAAGGTCGGCAGGGTGAGACAGTCTTCAAGTCAGGTTTTTGCTTTGCCCCTGCTGGCTCACATCGACTCTATGCCTCGTAAAACAGCCTTGATAATGTGAGGACGGCTTTCTTTTCTTCTTTTGCACGCTGCTCCACGCGGGCCCCGCCTGTGTGGATAATCCAAATCCAGCGCTGGCTACACGTTCGATTCACTGCTCCTGTTTATATTCACAAGGAGAGCGGGAGAAAAAGAGCCCCCCCCCCCCCCCCGTCTTCATCCCAGCATCCACTGGTGGCTCTTGAAAGCTGTTTTGCACTGATTAATCCAATTAAGTGCGTTAACAGAGTCTGTCTTTCGTTTTTTAAAAAGGGGGCAGGCTTTCCTGCCGCTACTGGGCACTAAAAAGGTACAGCACAGTTTTTGCAAGTTCCTCCGCAGACCACTGAAGCTGTCGAGAATCATTCAGCCAGCCCAGAGGGCCTCGAGTCTCGCCCGAAGCACCGGGCCAGCTGTCAGAACCCACAGCTAACAACGAAGCACACGCATTCAGGAACGGTTATACTTTTATTGCAAAGCTATAGATGCAGTAACACAGGCACTGTTAGGAATGGCCCCAGCCAGTAGAGCATAATAGGATATAGGGTATTCGTATGCACCCCCCCTGGCATGGGCCAATTAGGCACCCTCCTGCGCGCGGGATAAGTCAGGAAACCGTTAGGTGGCTAAAGCTGAGAACTCGGAGTCTCTCACGGTACATAGGAGCTCTCCAGACAACACAACCTCCTCCTGCATATCTGTAGAGATAAGCGTTTCAGCAAAGGCATAACAGCCGGGATAGGAATGCAATAGCCATTAACAAGACACAGAATGAACTCCCCAACCCCCATGGCAGCACAGCACACGGCTGCAATTCTGAGGGATGCCGCAGAACCTCAAGGGGCCTACCAGTCTCCTGCCCAAGCTCTTGCACGACCAGCTGATGTATGAGTTTGAGCTGCAGCAGACGCTCCGCCTGTCCCCTCGGAGGTGTTGAAAGCTGAAACCCTGCCTCCTCCACCCCACGGACAGCCGTCTTCAGTACTGCGCCCTCCCTTTAATATTGGTGTTGTTCAGTCGCACAGTCGAGTCCGACTCTTCGCGACACCATGGACCAGATCACGCCAGGCCCTCCTGTCTTCTGCCGTCCTCCGGAGTTTGCTCAATTTCATGTTCGTTGCCTCGATGACACTGTCTAACCATCTCATCCTTTGCCGTCCCCATCTTCTTTGACCTTCAGTCTTTCCCAGCATCAGGGTCTTCTTCTCCAGTGAGTGCTCCCTTCTCATTGGGTGGCCAAAGTATTTGAGCTTCAGTGTCATTATCTGGCCTTCCAGGGAACAGTCATGGTTGATTTCTTTTAGGATTGACTGATTTGATCTCCTTGCAGTCCAGGGGACTCTCAAGGGTCTTCTCTAGCACCATAATTCGAAAGCATCTATTCTTTGGCGCTTGGACTTCCTTATAGTCCAACTCTCACAGCCGTACAGTACGGCCACACCACCCTGAACACGCCCGATCTCGTCTGATCTCGGAAGCTAAGCAGGGTCGGGCCTGGTTAGTGATTGGATGGGGGACCGCCTGGGAATACCGGGTGCTGTACTGGGAATACTATTGCTTTGACCATGCGGACTTTTGTTGGCAGAGGGATGCCTCTGCTTTTTATTATGCTGTCTAGGTTTGCAATCGCTTTCCTCCCAAGGAGCAGGCATCTTTTAATTTCATGGCTGCTGTCACCGTCTGCCGTGGTCTTGGATCCCAGGAATGTGAAGTCTGTCACTGCTTCCACGACTTCCCCTTCTATTTGCCAAGGAGTGATGGGATGGGTCCGGATCCCTTTAATATTACTCTGGGCCAAACTAGACAAGACGATGGAACCTCTGATGGAAGCCCCCAATGTGTCCTTTTCAAAAATGCAACCATCCCGGCGTGGGGGGGGGCAGATTTGGATCAGGGCCACTGAGTGAGGGAGAGGGAGCTGAACCATCCCATGGCATTCTCTTCCGAACCTGAGATTACCCCCTGGGAGCAGCTTCCAAGGGGAAAGCAGCACGAGGGGATAGGGGAAGATGGACCCACTGCCCCTCAGCCCCAATCCAAAGCGCCTCTCGGCACCCAAGGTAAATGCCGGGAGCTCTGACCACCGGATTTGCCAAGCGTCTCACCTGGACCCCGGGCTCTCCTGGGTCCTAGCTTCCCTGCTCAAGCATTTGACACATTTATGGGACACTTTTCCCCAGGGGTCATTTCATAGAAAAAGAGGTGCAGGAGCTCATTAACATAACTTATTTGCATACACCACACACCCCTGACATCACCGGAGGTGTGTCAGAAGGCAACACCCACCGCTCAGGCTCCACTGGACTGTTCTGGATTGCTAGCTATTTGGGGGGGGAACACGCAGATCTGTCCTCGTAGAGGAGGGGGAGAGCTTGTATCTGAATAAAACTTGGTTTTAAAGGTGCCACTGGACTGTTTTGGGCCGGGGGGCCGGGGGGAGCTCTGCAACTTAGCTGGCTGCTTCTTGCTCTGACTGAGGGCTGCTGGGAGCAGGGGGCGAGGCTTGTTGCATGTGCCCGCCCCCTGGGCTCTTTACTGCCGGAGCTCCGCTCCTGTGTGCTCCTGCAGGAAATGACCCCTGCTTTTTCCAAATGTCCAAAGTGGCACACACCTCCTGCCGAGTCCTGCAGCGCGGACACAGACTCCCAGCCTTCCAGCTCCACACCTGGGAAGAGTTCTGATCTCTCCTTCCAGACTGACGTGGAGGACGATCAGATACTGTTTTAAAGACCCTACCGGGGAGCAGGAAAGGAAGCCAAGCTTAGCGAGGCCCTGAGGCATTGAGGGGGGAAGGACGGGCTTGGCAGAGCCTCACAAGCCGGTGCAAACCTTTGTTGGCTATCAAAAACCAGAAGAAGAAGACATCCCCAGGCCCAGACAGCTTACCTGCAGAGTTTTACCAGATTTTTGAAGATCAAATCACATCACCATTGAAAGATATCATTCAAAACATTTATGATCAAGGAAAATTACCAGAATCATGGAATCAAGCACTGGTTACACTAATACATAAACCAGAATACTATATACTATAACTATTTTGTTGTATTGTTATAAGGCCTAAGTGGCAAATTGTGATCTGCCCTGAGCCCGTTTGCGGGGAGGGCGGAATATAAACAGGAAGAAATAAACAGAAAATGGGAAGAAATACTGATGAAAAAAGAAATTAGGAATTACAGACCAATTTCGCCGCTTAATGCTGATTATAAAATCTATGCGCCTATTTTGGCTTTTTTGCCAAAGAGACAAATGAGAAATGATGTCAGGACTATTTTGAACGTATTAGAATATTTTGAAGCACATCCTGAAGAACAACTGGCAGTTACATTTTTAGATGCAGAAAAGCCTTTTTGATAATCTTAACTGGGCCTTCCTGTTAGAACAACTATTGACTTGGCAATGTGGAGAATATTTTTATACAATGGTGAAAGCAATTTGTAGCAAACTCTTGTTTGCTGCAGTGCCTACCTGAGCACCGGGGTGCTCAGGCTACCAATTCGCTACCTGTAACAACTTTGTTCCTGTAATGAAGCATGACATCATTTTTTTTTTAAAGGGACCAGGTCCTAAAACAGGGTCCCCCAACCTTTTCGGAGACCGTGAGCACCTCTGGAATTCGTACACACCATAGTGGGTGCAGCCGCAGTATGGCTGCTGCAGGGGGCGGAGCTTGCCACTAAAGGGCTGCCGCGCCTCACACGGCGAAGATCCTTGTGCTCTGGAGGCAGCTGCTGCCAAAGCAACGTTTAAAAAAAAAACTGCAGTCAATCAAATCTCCAACGGCCAATCAGAAGCCTTGTGGGGCAAAAGCCCCACCCACTTTCCCAAAACGCTTGGTGGGCGCCAGGAAAGTTGTCGGTGGGTGTCCTGGTGCCCACATGCACCTCGTTGGGGACCCCCGTTCTAAGAGGCTTCTGCCCACTGTGTCGGTGCCAGGCGGGCAAGAGGGCGAGAGCGTTCAGCGGGTTCCCGAAACGGAGAGTTCTTACCTTTGTTACGTGACATGGCGTACAAAAGGCAGAGCACGAACAATGCGTAGTAATCGTCCTCTGCGCACTCCAGGGCATTGTACACCAAATCCAGAAAGGGCCTGAGGGAGACACGGAAGCTTCAGAATTTGCCACCGCTGCTCTACCGTTTGATACCAAGAAAACGGAGCGGTTCCCAAGAGATGCCGCAGGAATACTGCACCGAGCGGCCCTGCATGGGACAGGCGACATGTCCGAGTAGAAAAGGTTCGTTTATTCAGTTCATTTTATACCCTTGCTTTTCCTCCCTACTAAGGACCCAGAGTTTTGGGCCCCCATCGGCAAGGAAGGTGGGGTATAAATGAACTAAGCAAAGGAACGATTTAAGCACCAGGTCTTCGGCTAGAACTCTCTGCTGCTGTTGCAGTAAGCTACTATTCACAAGACCTTTATGGCTCGGCTTCATAAGAACATAAGAGAAGCCAATGCGGGGCCAGGCCAATGGGCCATCCAGTTCCTACCTATACCTTGTGCGTAAGGCTATACCTTCGGCCCATTCATTCCCGGCTGTAGGAACCGAAACTGAAATTTGCTGCCCTGCCCACTTTAACTGTTTTTAAACTGGTTTTATTGTATTAATTTAATACTTGATATCTATTTATGGAATCAATTTTAGAATTTGTATTGGAATTTATTGATGCGACCTGCCTGGAGCCCACTTGGGGGAAGGGCGGGCTATAAATTGGAAAGACAGACAAGAAGGAGGAGGAGGAGGAGGAGGAGAAGGAGAAGAAGAAGAAGAGGAGGAGGAGGAGGAGGAGGAGGAAGAGATTGGATTTATATCCCACCCTTCACTACCCGAAGGTGTCTCAGAGCAGCTTACAAACTCCTTTCCCTTCCCCACAACAGACACCCTGGGAGGCAGGTGGGGCTGAGAGAGCTCTGAGAGAAACGGCTCTTTTTCAAGGACAGCTCTTACCAGAACTATGGCTTGCCCAAGGTCATCCAGCCAGGTGCAAGTGGAGGAGTGGGGGATCAGACCCAGTTCTCCCAGATTAGAGTGCGTGCACTTAACCACTACACCAAGCTGGATGGATGGATGGATGGATCTTCTGTATTGTTCTTTTACTGTGATATTCGTGCTGGTTTTCTAGAACCTCTTTATCAGAGTCAAGTAGGGCAATCTGATGACTATAAGATTGTTTCATTACTATCTTCCCATAATCCTGGGATCACAGAATCTGTAGCTAAATTTCTCTGTTGTGCTATTAAGAGAAGAAGATTGTTTCAGGTGCAAGGGTAAAGGACGTATCCTTGTCTCCCAGCTGTATGTTCTGCCGATATGCCAATAATAATAATAAGAAGATGAGGAAGAGATTGGATTTATACCCCGCCCTTCACTACCCAAAGGTGTCTCAGAGCGGCTTACAGACCCCTTTCCCTTCCCCTCCCCACAACAGACACCCTGTGAGGGAGGTGGGGCTGAGAAAGCTCTTGACAGAAACGGCTATTTTTCATTTCCCCTCCCCACAACAGACACCCTGTGAGGTCGGTGGGGCTGAGAGAGCTCTTGACAGAAACTGCTCTTTTTCAAGAACAGCTCTTATCAGAACTACGGCTTGCCCAAGGTCATCCAGCCAGATGCAAGTGGAGGAGGAGTGGGGAATCAAACCCGGTTCTCCCAGATTAGAGTCCGCGCCCTTAACCACTACACCAAACAAAGGTTCTGATAGATGATAGATAGATAGATAGATAGATAGATAGATAGATAGATGATAGATAGATAGATAGATAGATAGATAGATAGATAGATAGATAACTCAAGAACTTCCCGGCACTAATTAATGTTGGGCTCAGCCCAAAGAGAAATGTGAAAAGCGTTCATTCTCCTCTCCACCCCCCCCCGCCGTACCTGTTCCAGATCGACGTTCTGGCCGCGGCCGCTGACTTCTCTTCGTCGGTTATGTTCTGCTCTTTCACGGAAGACAGCTTGCACCGCTCCATGATCACCATCTCAATCTCTGGGAAGAAGCGGCAAAGGACAGAATTGAAAACAGTCGCTTCGGCGGCAGAGAGCGGGGGGGGGGGGCAAAGACCTACCACCATCGGTGAGGGGACCACAGCAATTGCTGCTGGCTGTGAGCATTACGATGCTCTCGTTGTGCTGCTATCTAATGCTGCAATACCCTTTTTTTGCCTCATTTGTTTATTACTTGTACTACTACTACTACGACTAGTTTATTAATCGCCCTGTCCCAGCTTGTGCCATAAACTATACAGATTACAACAAACCGGACCACGGTGTACCTAAGATAAGTGAAACACTAAATCACCATGTATATTTTTACAATTTTTATATCTTTTTACCCGGAACATCTTGGCCCAGGGTATCCCCCCCCTTTTTTTGTCCTCACTGTGATATACAATAGTGAGTATTTTAGTCGCTGATGTATCCTGTAAGATGTGAATTTTTGTCTTAAGTGTTTAACCTGTTTTATTTTTATCGCACTTTGGTGCCTTAACTGTTTTAATCTTGTTGTATTTTATTGCACTGTTGTGCCTATGTAAGCCGCCCTGAGCCCGCGTGCGGGGAGGGCGGGGTATGAATGAAAATAAAATAAATAAATAAATAAATATAAATTTTTAGAGTATTTTTTTCAAGTAATTAACAAGAATACAGCTTAAGCATTAGCCATGAAGCTCAACAGTACATTCAGAATGATGCAACTCCTAGGGTAATATTTACAGCCAGTAACGAAGTCTTTATCGTAAGACTCAAGGTCCTTGTTACAAAGAGAAAAAACAAAGAGAAACAACTTAAGACAAACAACGGCATCCTAGTAATCATCCCGTTTGCGTATTCTTCATCAGGTTCGCCTGCTGTTGTAGATATATCACAATCTTGGAAGTACTGAAGGCAATTATTATTATTATTATTATTATTATTATTACATGGGATTTTTACCCCGCCCACCCCCGAAGGGCTCTGGGCGGCTTACAGAGTATCGTGTGCGCACACACTTTATAGAATCCTAACTATGGCCACAAATTCAGGGGGATGGGAACCCTACCTGATACCCTCCGAAGGCTTTTTTCCGCAGATGTTCTTGCTTCTTTTTTCCGGGCGGTCACATGCAATGTTTCAAGATTCTTAGGACTATTTCATATACTCTATTGGTGACATGCTATTGCTTTAATTTCTGGTGCCTGGGAATTGCCAATATTAAATTATGATGCGACTAGGTCCACAATGCATTTCAAATGGCAAGACTTCCCTAGTGTGGGGCTGAGAGGGCTCTTTCAAGAACTGCCCTTGAGAGAACAGCTCTGAGAGAACTTGTGACTGACCCAAGGTCCCACCGGCAGCTGCACGTGGAGGAGTGGGCAATCAAACTCGGTTCTGCCAGATTAGAGTCTGCGCTCCTAACCACTACGTCAAACTGGCTATCTCAGAATTAATTAAACCCAGAATTGATCAAAGTGCGGGGGAAAAGTCCAACTCTTCAGAAGAGGATGACAACACTAACTGTTATATGATGCTTTCAAAGGCCCTGCCAACTGTACGACAGTCCGGTAAGGCAGACCAGTACTGCTCCCCACGTATTACTGATGGGAGGGGGCAGGGCTGGGAGAGAGTGGGGGTGGTGGGGGTCTGCGGCCGAGGCAAGATCCAAACCGGCAACTCCCAGATCGTGGTTACACTGAATTCCAAATCACAACCCAACCGCAGAACTCAGAATGCACACTGGAAAGCGGCAACGCGTGAACTGGATGGCTTGACTTGTTTTCCCCCCACACTGATTGGCGCGCTCACCTTCGTTCTCTCTGCTCGGCTTGGTGCCTTTGGAAGCACCCTCCGTGCCTTCCGGCCCCTCCACGGGCGCCTTCTCCTCTTCCTCGTCCTCCTCGACGTTTTTGTAATTCGGCCGCTTCTGCTGCCTCTTCCGGCCCTTGTGCTTGTTGATCTCCAGGGATCGCTCCAACGACTCGGAAGGTTTGATGAAGCACCTGATGCCCGACTTGGTCTGGGAGGAAGACACAACCAGACCAAACTCGTTATTTATTTAATTTGTATCCTGCCCTGCCCTGCCTGCCTGCCTGCCTGCCTGCCTGCCTGCCTGCCTATCTATCTATCTATCTATCTATCCTATCTATCTATCTATCTATCATTCATCTATCTATCTATCATCTATCTATCTATCATCTATCTATCATCTATCTATCTATCTATCAATCTATCAATCTATCAATCTATCAATCTATCTATCTATCATCCTATCATCTACCTATCATCTACCTAAGAAGTGACGGCGGCATTCTCTCAGCGTCCAGATGGTCAACCACCACCATAGTCTGGTGTCGTGGTTAGGTGGGTGGACTCTAATCTGGGAGAACCAGGCTTGACTCCCCACTCCTCCTCCGCTTGCACCTGCTGGGTGACCTCGGGTCTGTCACAAGTTCTCTCAGAGCTATTCTCTCAAGAGCAGTTTCTGTCAACCTCACAGGGTGTCTGTTGTGGGGAGGGGAAGGGAAAGGAGTTTGCAAGCCCCTCTGAGACTCCTTCGGGTAGTGAAGGGTGCGGTATAAATCCGGTATCTTCTTCTTCTTGCCAGGCTGTTATTAAGTTGGTACTGATATTGGGGCCAGGGCCATGATATTGGGAGGCGGCACCCTAGTCGAAGGCCTGGTGGAAGAGCTCCGTCTTTCAGGCCCTGTGGAACTGTAAAAGGTCCCGCAGGGCCCTGATGTCATCCGGGAACTGATTTGACCAATGTGGAGCCGCCACTGAGAAGGCCCTGGCCCTCGTCACAGCTAGCCTGGCTTCCTTAGGGCCTGGAAGGGCCAGACGGTTTTGAGATTCCCCGATCTTAGTGCTCTCTGGGGAACATGTGGGGAAAGGCGGGTCTCTTAGGTAAGTCCCTGAGACTGGCAGGAGAACTTGGGAATGCAGCATGTAGGCCAAGCCACCATTGCGTACGGATGGCTCCACTTAAAAGCACGTGTGCACATGTGAGAGGGGGGAGGCTGGTACTTGGGGTCAGTGCACACAGAATTTTGAGCTTGTGTTTAGTGTTGAGAAAGCACCCCTAAATCTCCAAGTAGCAGAGAGCAATGGCTCACTCCCCGCTTGAAGCAGGGGAGCAAGAAGAGGGCAGAAGGAGGTAATCTAGAAGCAGGTGGTGGTGGCAGCTACAAGCATGGACGGCTTCAAGAGGGAGTTAGATAAGCATATGGAGCAGAGGTCCATCGGTGGCTCTTAGCCACAAGGTATAGATAGGGACTCAGTCTGGGGCAAGGGATGCTCTGTATTCTTGGTGCTCGGGGGGGGGCAACAGTGGGAGGGCTTCTAGTGTCCTGGCCCCACTGCTGAGGGCACCTGGTATTTTTGACCACTGTGTGACAGAGTGTTGGACTGGATGGGCCACTGGCCTGAACCAACACTGGCTTCTCTTATGTTCTTAATATGGAGCAGAGGTCCTTCAGTGGCTGTTAGCCAGAAGGTCTAGATAGGAACTCTCAGTCTGGGGCAAGGGATGCTCTGTCTTCTTGGTGCTTGGGGGGGGGGGCAACAGTGGGAGGGCTTCTAGTGTCCTGGCTCCACTGCTGGACCTCCTGATGGCACCTGGTCTTTTTGGCCACTGTGTGATACAGAGTGTTGGACTGGAGGGGCCATTGGCCCGATCCAACACTGGCTTCTCTTATGTTCTTATGTTCTTACAATGGCCTGTAGCCACTACAATTGCTTCTTCCCGAGTAATTGTCTTATTATGAGGAAAACGTGTAGACCTAGGCAGCTGTTGTATATAGACCACTGCAAAAGGTTTCCTTCCTTCCTTCCTTCCTTCCTTCCTTCCTTCCTTCCTTCCTTCCTTCCGTTTATATCCTGCTCTAACCGAAAAACGTAAATCCAAACAACAAGGGGAAAAGACTAGAGTCACAGGAGTTCCCAAATAGACAAATTCCACTAGCAGAAAACACCCATAAAAGACTGCCAATACATTAAACAATTATAAAGCCTTCTCTTATGTTCTTATGTTCTTACAATGGCCTGTAGCCACTACAATTGCTTCTTCCCGAGTAATTGTCTTATTATGAGGAAAACGTGTAGACCTAGGCAGCTGTTGTATATAGACCACTGCAAAAGGGGTTTTTGAAATCACATTATTAAGACACCGAATTCACAACTTTATCAGAAAAGGATCAGGAAGAACAAAGCAAAACAAAACGTAAACAAAAAACACATTTTCAAAGTTCACCAAATTTCTTTTCCCCCCCTTTTCTGTTGTGTGTGTGCGCGCTTGCGCCGCACGTGCCCATGCCTGGAAGCAATGGCGACCCCTGCTGGGGCACAGAGGACGTTCAGAGAGGTGCCCTGCAATTGCTTGCCTCTGCCTCCGGCCCTGGTATTCTCTGGAGGTCTCCCGTCCAACTACTTGCCAGGGTTGGCCCTGCTTAGCTTCTGAGATCTGATGAGATCAATCTGGCCTGGGCTATCCAAGTCAGGGCCAAAGTTCCTTCCTTCCTTCCTTCCTTCCTTCCTTCCTTCCTTCCTTCCTTCCTTCCTTCCTTCCTTCCTTCCGTTTATATCCTGCTCTAACCGAAAAACGTAAATCCAAACAACAAGGGGAAAAGACTAGAGTCACAGGAGTTCCCAAATAGACAAATTCCACTAGCAGAAAACACCCATAAAAGACTGCCAATACATTAAACAATTATAAAGCCGGTGGTGTCACAACAACAACATGAATGCATACTGTAACGATAGTAAGGCATAAGAGGCAATATTTCCTCCTTTGAAGATAAGTCATAAAGTCCATGTAGTCAGTGTAACTTGACAGGAGGAGTCCACATGGTCATCACGTTTTCCAAACAGCCTTTGCAAAGGCACCCATTCTAGATTTTTTGAAGAAGCGCTTCTTTCGACTTCTTCGGTTTGCCGGCTGTGTAAGTGGAACCTGATTTCAGCAATTTCAACAGACCACCAGGTTCATAGTGTAAGAAGCGAATCATAGGTTCCCCAAAGTTCATCAAATCTCTTTTTTTTCTTTGTGTGTGTGTGGGTGTGAGCACGCACGCATGCACACATGCGCCCAGGCCTGGAAGTCATGGCGACCTAAGATCTAAATAAATAATAGTGCCATGTAATAAAACCAAGTGAAAACAATCGGACAACAAAACAGGATGGCAGCAAAAACGAGAACTCCCGGGCAGTCCTTATTGCCTCCGGCAGGATGCATCAGTTCATCAAATTTCAACAGGATACGATTAACTATGCCGCGCCACTCCGACTGCATCTCACCAAAATTCTCATTTTTTTGAAAGAGCTGTAAGCTTAATCATTAAAGGAGCCTCACATTTTAGCAATCCGTTTGCTGATTTCTGGAATCTCCTTTGAATTCCAGAACCGTGCAAGCGTTAAGACATGCAGCCGTAATCGAGTTCAGAACTATCGGTTGTACTAGCTTTGGAATGCCAGGGGGCCGCATTTAACAACAACCATTCAGGAGTCTCTTCCAGCACTCGTTCCAAACCGGCACACGTCAACACAACTACTTTCTCCCAGCACAGAACTCCCCTGGGGCAAAAACACTGTGGAAAGCATCTGTCCCTGTTGGTCGCGTATCGGGTGTGGGGGGGGGGGGGGTGGGGGGGGGGAGACCCAAAACAAAAAGAAGGGTAAAAACAGTCTCATTATAACATCTGAGAAAGCTGTTGTTGGAGCTGCTGGAGGGGTTTGCGAATTTGCGTCCTTCAAGCCACAGGTCTAGAGTCCTGCTAAATACTGAACTAAGATGACAACAGGAACTCCCGCCGACGCCACGCTGCCAGGCCATCGCTGATTCCAGCAAGGGTCGAGGCACGTGACACGTAGGAAACCAGCGACTGGATCTTCTAACGTTTTGGGTTCTTGTTAACAGCAGCTGCTTGGGGGGGGGGAGTTCCAAGTTGCAGCAGGGCGGCAGCACAGAGGGAAGGGGTGATCTTCACACTCATCCCAACCACTGTTCCCTCTAAGCTGAGTGAGTGTGAGCCAGCTCACAGTTTTTTAGCCTCCAGCTCACACATTTTTGTCTTTGCTCAGGAAGGGATGGCTCCAGAGCAAACTAATTTATGCAGCAGCCAAATCGTTCACTCACAACTTTAATGCTAGTAACTCACAAAGTACAATTTTTGCTCACAAGACCCCACAGCTTAGAGGGAACATTGATCCCAGCACCGTTTTCCAGATCACAGGGAAGATGTGGGCCATTGGCCGAGCAAGCCGAGCAGCAAGCGTGGGGAGACTCAGACTGGGGGACGGACCGAGCACCCCTCTGGCCAGTACCAGAGCCCCCCCCCCAACCTCTTCCAAGTTTAAAACAGAAAAGGGAATTCTGCGGCTTGTGTAGATTTGTCTCGCTGCATATCACGATGGCTGTCGACCTCCATCGGTCTCGCCGACCCTGCTCCTTCCCACCTGGGGCCCTCCGCTTCCCCCCCTCCCTCCCTCTCTCCCCGCGCGGCGCTTCTCCTCCGAGGTGCAGGTCGGGGTGACTCGGGTCCCAGTCCCCATTCTGCCACGGAAGATGGCCGGGTGACCTTGGGCTAGTCACCCAGCCCTCGGCCTGACCTACCTCTTGGGGTCATCACAAGAAGAAGAAGAACAAGAAGGAGGAGGAGGAGGAGGAGGAGGAGGAGGAAGAGAAGAAGAAGGAGGAGAAGAGGAGGAGGAGGAGGAAAAGGAGGAGGAGGAGGAGGAGAAGAGGAGGAAGAGGAGAAGGAGGAAGAGGAGAAGAAGAGGAGGAGGAGAAGAGGAGGAGGAGGAGAAGAAGAATTAGGAAGAGGAGGAGAAGGAAAAGAAGGGGAAGGAGAAGGAGGAGATGAAGGACAAGAAGAGGAGGAGGAAGAAGAGATTGGATTTATACCCTGGCCCTTCACTACCCAAAGGAGTCTCAGAACGGCTTGCAAACTCCTCTCCCTTCCCCTCCCCACAACAGACACCCGGTGAGGTCGGGGGGACCGAGAGAGCTCTGACAGAAACTGC